CTGTTTTCCCTTAAACTATGAGATTAAAATCGCTTAATATCTTTCTAGCAACTAATTCCTTCTTTACTCCAAATGCCCTGGTACGGCCGAGAGTAGGGAGAGTCCGCTCTCCCTCTTCAAATACTCTCACATTGCCACGTGTATACAGCCTCTACCAGGGAAGTCCTACTCACTGCCTTTTCGTGGCATTTCTGTTGTTTACGAAAACGGTTGAACGAAAAGCGAATGTCCGGCACTTTAACTGGATCCTAAACCAATGATGTACATGGGCTCTAGTATCCTGAAGGAACAAATGGCGTATGAACCAATCATTGGTCACCGGCTACCATGGGACTGCATCTCCTTACGATGCTCCACTGCCTTGTGGATCAGACGTTCATGTCGAAGGTTCGGGGTGTGGCCTCCTAAGAAAACCACCTGCTTCATCGGTTTGGGTACCCGGCCAGTATCACAGCCCTCACACATATCAAATGAGATCTGTGTGGCGCATATGTCTTTGGTACCTCCTTGTACCAATATCTATGTGTTAAAAAAAATAAATAAATAACAAATAATTCCTTCTTCCTGCACTCTGTCCTTATATGCAATCTTTTTTATATATAATACCACCACAAAAATAACTACTTCTATGAATTCGGTGTTCATCTTGTGCTAATGAGGTATTGGAACTTGGATTGATGCATATATGTGCCTGATTCTACGTTGTGGCTGACTGACTGACTAGACAATTAATAATATAGAGATTTGTCGAAATTATTCAATGTTATTGATATCACAAATCTACTTAAGTTAAACAACCATTTAAAACTATGAAGCACTGAATAGTTGTTTCGTAACAATATGGGACTCTTAAGTGGTGGTGGACATGTTCAACCTCATTGGGGATTAAACCAAGGATTATCACATTCCACGGTTAACCTTTAGGGCACTGAGTCAGAATGTAATAGTTTACATGTTTAACTTCAATTAGCTCAAGAAATCTGTATATTGATATTAATACAAATAGATTATACTTATTAATAACAATCTACTCAGTGTTCAATTTGTTTGAAATTATCAAGTCAAACCTGTAACAAGTGCAGTCCAAACGTATAGAATATCAAGGATTTACCCACTGAAGACATTGGTAAATGATTGTGAATTTTAGAGAATTGATTAAAGTTAGACGCATACAACGTTAGGCGTCGGCTCAGAAGTAAAGTGTTCGGGTACGAAGCCGAAGGTCCTGGGTGTGACCACTACTCACCTCATGGATGTACATCTCTAAGTGATCTCTTGAGTAGAGACAACTATATTTGTACAAATGTTTCTAGTTTTTCACTACTCATAGTTAGATTTAGGATTGCAGTATCAAGTAAAAGCCAGTTAAGGATATCCGCAGAAAATTAGGTATAATTATGACAGAACCAAAGGAATTACTAGATTGTACGAAACTTCCTAAGATGATGAAATCGTTCAAACTTCCTAAGGGCGAATTAACGCATTATTTATCATCTTATCCCATCACATTTTTTGTTTATGAATTATACTACTTATAAAATATCCAGTAATCAGTTTCAATTCTGATAAACTTTTTAACATAGAATATGTTATATCCTTATATTGTTGTATATTAGCAAGTATTTATATAAACTGTTAATGTTCCGTTTATTTATTGTTATCATAATTGTATATCCCTTATAAAGAAAACTTGTAATAGTTTTATTCATTGCTATTGTATTTATTGAACAGTTGTTCTGCTATATATACTTTTCATCTTAGTGTTTCTTCTTATTACGGTCTATTATCTGCCTTTATAGTCACATAACAACTGTTAGCTATTATATAGGCTTTTGTATGTTGTTGTGATTAACCTCTAAATATGTATATATATATATATCTTTCAGGAATAATCTTTATTTGATTGAATACTAGCGCAATAAACACCATAGATACCTTATGAAATAAGGTTTACAAATGATATTCCATATAAATTCACTTGGTATTGTTCGTTTAGCACTATTTAGAATTGTAATTGATCAGTCACTCATTAGAATATGTGCATTCTGTAAAGATTGCCCCTATATATTCTTAATTCACAAGCATTCTAAGCAAACATGGATAGTCACTAGCAATCTGGGGGGGGCACCAACTGGGGGCATCAAATCCGAGGTGCAGGTACATCCAGCTGACGAAACCCAAATAAAACGAAACGCGAGTCCTGGATTGCATTGCTAACCACTATACATCTTTGAATATAATGCTTGGATATTCCTTATATTTTCGTAATAATAGTTCGTATTACATATAAGCTACGTATTTTTGATTCCTAGCTTTTATGAATCGGTTAATCGTGTAGTCAGAAGCTTTTGATAGAACATAATAGTTATTTTTATACTGTACTAATTATAAGCTTGAATTTAACTTATTAACTACAGAAGTAACTCACCTATTGCTTTGTTGGGCCACGTGTTACCTATGCCTAGACACTTATTACCACAACGTGTTATGCTGACTAGTGTTGGGAATGGTTGGAAGAAAGTTAGGGGCTACCAAACCCAAAAGTGGCGTCAATCCATAAAGCCGATAACCACTAGTCTGAGCCATGTTGTTGGTAGATGCATACTACTTGGTCGAGGTCTGCACGACTATCGTAATCATTGGTTGGAGACTCTGGATGATATGGCTCAGCATAGATCACAATAGTATAGGTGTAAACACTCTTTGTCTTCTTCTAAACCGTGAAATTACATTTTTTTATACCTTTCTGATATATGGGCGAGAATGATGATGATTGGTTGTCTGTTTAGTCAGACATGTAGATAATATGACAGGTGTCAGATGAGTTATATATTCTCCTATCCTTATCATTACACTTCACTGATTATTGATTCTTCATTGTTGTTGGATTGTGTCGAGTTTCGGTGTGGAAATATATTTACGTTCTAATCAGGCTAATCCCATGTTCTTGATCTGATTTGTGTTGAAGTCCTGTAGAATAGACACTGGAAGGGAATATAGTGTAGATATTCATCAATGATAAATTCACGTCCCATACGTGTAAACGTGTAAACCCAATTGTTATAACATTAAACGAAGTAAAACCAAGCGTTATAACACTTTCTTTCTATGAACTAATTCTTTCTCCCTGTATCCTATCATTCTATTCAATCTATTTTTGATATATTACTACCATTGTAATAACTACTTCCATGAAGTTTGTGTTCACTTTGTTGTGCTAATAAGGTGTGGCAACTTTGACAAATGCATATATGTGCATGATCCTACGTTGTAGCTGACTAACTGATTGCCCTGTTTTATATCACTTAAATTCTAGTTATGTACAAATTATGATTTTGTTTGTTTGTATTGTTGTGTAAACATTTGATTAATGCATATGAACCTATGAGTTTTTAAGTCATAGAAAAAATTTTTTTGTTACCTAATTGACTATCGAGTGATTTCGGATCAATAAGAATTAGGATCCCAATCAAATTATTGATCAAATGAAGTTTATTGGTCAGAATAAAGTAAAGTGAATTAGTTATTAACTGACTCTATGATCGCGTTACCCAATGAAATGGGAAATGTAGAAAATGTAGTTTTTATACTAATGTGATGTATGCTACTGATATCGACAGATATAAGTAGTATGTATCATCAAACCAAAATGAAATACCTAGTAACAGTAGGTTAAGAAGACTCAGATTCAGTAGAATGTCTTCATTATTCATTATTAAAACATTCAGAACAGTCGTTCGACAAATCGATGTTGTTGTATAGTTTTATTATTTAGCTTAAAAGTTACATTAGTGGCTTTCTTTTCAATTGTGTTTTTTCACCACTTTTTAAATATTCTGTTTTCGCTTAAGTCAAATTGAAACTAGAAGAAACTTTTACACTGTCTAAACAGTATACAGAATTAGTTCATTTGGTAAATTTAACATTTCATATACTTTTGTGGTGTGTACTACTGATATTGATAGATATAAGTAGTATGTATCATCAGTTAGAAGTGAAGTGCCTGGTGGTAGATGGTTAAGAAGATCGAAGAAAAGAGAATGAATACAGAGAATGATTGATATTGAAATGAAAGAACAATGAAATTTGAGATGATTGATTGATATTTTTTCAAATGAAGTATTCACTGTATGATTCTCAGATTTTAAGAAGAGATTCAAATACATTTGATTATCCTCACTTGTGTTCTCAACAAGCGATAAAAAATGCAGGAGAAGATGACAAGTGTAACCGCAGCCTCAGCAGCACTAGGTCTCAACATACATCAAGGGAAAAGTAAGATTCTCCGGTACAACACAGCATACACCAATCCACTCACAATTGGTAGAGGAGATTGAAAGATGTAAAAACTTTTACATGTCTGGGTAGCATCATTGATGAACATGATGGATCTGATGAATATATGAAGGAACGGATCGGCAAAATAAGAGCAGCATATTTACAACTGAAGAATATCTGGAACTCAAAACAACTGTCTATCAACCAACACCAAAATCAGGTCAGGATTTTCAATACAAATTTCAACACAGTTCCATTTTATGGGACGGAATCTTGGAGAACTACGAAAGCCACCATCCAGAAGATACAGGTGTTTATCAACAGTTTTCTACGCAATATACTTCGGATCCATTGGCCAGAAACCATCAGTTACAATTTACTGTGGGAGAGAACAAACCAGATTCCAGTGGAGGAAGAAATCAGGAAGAATTTTTAGAAGTGTATAGGACCCACGTTGAGGAAAGCACCCAAGTTTGTCACAAGACAAGTCCGCACTCATAATCCTCAAGGCCAAAGGAGGAGAGAAAGACGGAAGAACACATTACTCGAAGAAATGGAGACACACATGAGAAGAATGAATGACAATTGGATAGAGCTAGAAAGGAAGGCCCAGGACAGAGTGGGTTGGAGAATGGTTGTCGGTGACCTATACTTCCTTGGGAGTAACAGGAGTAAGTAAGTAGGTACCTTGTGTTCTCATTCACTACACCAGAAAGAGATAATATTTTAAAAATTATTTATTGATAAATCATTAATTATAAAAACGTTTCTTGGTATCATTTGATGAGGTAAGTGTTGAATCATTTGAATTCATACTTGATGATAATGATAATGATGATGATGGTGACGGTGATGATGATGAAGGTGATGATGGTGACGATGATGATGATGATGACGATGAGAAGATTTGCGATTGTGATATTTCAATAGTATTTTGTAATTTATCAACGATGTTTTTATTTAAATAAGCACCAATTAATAATTCGTAAAATATTGCACCAATAATAGAACCAATGTATGGTGCTACAATTGGAATCCAAAAATAATAATGATCTTTTTTGAATGCATCCAAACCTAATTCTATGAAGAAGAAGAAGAAAGAATGAATTATAAAACCGTGGAGATTCCAGAATTATAAGAAGTTTAAAAACATATACTGTATGATCAAAGGCCCCCAAATGTCCTGGTACACCCGAGGGTGCGGTGTGTTGGTTCGCACTTTCGAAATGCTCTCACATGGCCACGTGCATACAACCAACGCCACGAAAGTCCTACTTAATAACTTCTTTCACCACAGGTGTTGTTTACGAAATTGAGAGGACGAAGAGTGAATGTCCGGTGCTTAATCCGGGTTAGTGGGTACGGTAGATCCACCTAGGGGAGTTCGTAAACCTTGATTTCAAACCAATGATGAACATGGGCTCCAGGATCCTGAGAGAATAAATGGTTTATGAACCAATTATTGATCACCGGCTACGATGGGACCGCATCTTCTGATGTTGCTCCACTGCTTTGTGGATCGAAAGATTGGGTTGTGGCCGCTTAAAAAAACTACCTGCTTCATAGGTTTGGGCACCTGGACAGTATTCCATCCGTCACACAAATCGAACTATTTATTTGGCGTATATCTATTTATTCCTCCTTGTACCAATATTTATCTGTTTAAATGAATAAATAAACTATAATCAGAGAGGAGGGTTTTATGGAAATTGCAGTAATTTAATAATTAAATCCATGAGTCAATTGAAGCTAGACCACCATGTAAAACCTGGAAATATTGTAAAGCTATTTCATCCTAGTATGGGACTTCTCAGCAGTGCGTATCCCCGATCCCGAACCCAGGACCTGTACTTTATATTAAAGTATTATTAATCTTCATCATGAACTGACTTGAGTTAGATAACTATTTAAGTTAAGAAATAAAAAGAGAGACAGGTTTTTCATCCCACTATATGACTTTCTACTAATGAGAACCCATAGTCCCATAGGTGATCGAACCTAAGAAACTGTTTTCTCAACATAAACTTACTTACTTACTTACTTACTTACGCCTGTTACTCCTCGTGAAGGAACATAGGTCACTCGCCAGCATTCTCCATCCAACCCTGTCCTGGGCAATCCTTTCAAGCTCTTTCCGGTTCTTATTCATCTTTTTCATATCTGCTTCTATTTCCCGACGTAATGTGTTCTTTGGCCTTCCTCTTTTCCGCTTCCCTTCAGGATTCCAAGTTAGCGCTTGTCTCGTAATGCAGTTTGATGATTTCCTCAATGTATGTCCTATCCATTTCCATCGTCTTTTCCTAATTTCCCCTTCAGCTGGAACCAGGTTGGTTCTCTCCTACAAAAGGCTGTTGCTGATGGTATCCGGCCAATGGATGTTGAGTATCATGCGTAGACAGCTATTAATAAATACCTGTACCTTCTTGATGGTGGTTGTTGTAGTTCTCCAAGTTTCAGCTCCGTACAGTAGAACTGCCTTGACGTTCGTATTGAAGATTGTGACTTTGATATTGGTTGACAGACAGTTGTTTTGAGTTCCATATGTTCTTCAGTTGAAGGAATGCCGCTCTAGCTTTGCCAATCCTCGCCTTGACGTCTGCATCTGAACCTCCTTGTTTATCGACGATGCTTCCCAGGTATGTGAAGGATTCCACGTCTTCCAGAGTTTCGCCATCAAAAGTGATTGGATTGCTGTTTTCCGTGTTGTGTTTGAGGACCTTGGTTTTCCTTTTGTGTATGTTGAGGCCTACTGATGCAGAGACTGTTGCTATGCTGGCTGTCTTTATCTGCATTTGTTCGTGTGTATGTTATAGGAGGGCTAGGTCATCTGCGAAGTCCAAGTCGCTTTATACCTTTAAACTACTAAGCTATCATCTGATGGTTTACATATCTAACTTCAAATAATTCACAGTATTGCTTAGTTGCTTAGTTGACTATCTCACTAATGATATGGTTACACTTCACTCATCATCATCGTTTCATCCTCAAACTATTGGTAAAACCTCTCTAAATCAATTCAATACTACAATCATATAATTACCTACTTCAAACTGGTTATCAATAATTGTTTAATTTAAATCAATATATTCTGTAAATTATGTAATTTGATAATTTACACAAACACTCTGATGAATGATATTTCTCTATGGTGTAGGTTAGTTTATTGATTTTGTAAACTATGTGCATAATACTAGATTATTGATTAATTACTAGTTCCGTTTACTCAAATTTATTGATTAACCAAATATCTAAATTGTTATGTAATTTGTTATGATTATTATTGAAGATGTAGGCTAATTAGTAAGTGGTGAATAAATCAGTCTTCTTCTACAGTGTTGTTTTCCTCCTTGAATTCACATAAAATTCTTATTCCATTGTGATAGAGAACAAATGAAAATAGTTGTATTTTGATGTGTGCTATTGATGGCAACAGACATAAGTAAAGTTTCTGACGTCACAAGGTTAAGATGATCAAAGAAAAAAGAACGAGAACAAAGAATGATCTGTGTGAGAACGAAGGAATAACGTAGTCTGAGACGATTGATTGACATTTTGCAAATGAAGTATGTATTGTATGGTTCTTAGATTTTATGTTTATATACAGTCGATTATTCGCACTTGTGTATTTGTTCGGCACAGTTTCAGTAGCTGAAATCAACGTTTAACTCAAATCATAATCTTGATAAATCAGTTTTGTTCCAATTCATTTCAATAATGGTTAACAAATGGAATATTTCCATAATCTAGGATCAGCTACACAAAAAACTCACGATAGACAGTGAATCATAAGTAGAAAAGGAATCATACTATTAGTTCTTTTCTTGAGTGTATCCCCGAAAGTTCATACAAATAGTTGAATACTTTTTTAGTGTCAACAGAATACTCCTTAATGTGGTTTATAACACTTGAATCATGAAAGTAATCACAAATCGAGTTATACTACTGATAAGTATGATAAGTAGTACATTTTATAACTCTTAATTTTATTCAAATGTCTTATTTAATTAATTTGATGTTAAACAATATTGTCTAAATCACTAAGTTAATACATATATTTCAATCCTACGGGATATCGCGAATAAGCAGTTTATTGAAATCATGCATTTCAGATCTTAAACTTTCTACTTACTATAAATTTCGAAATGTCCAACTTAGTATTTGAATTCATGAGTCAATTGAAGTTAGACCACCATGGGAAATCTGGAAGCATTGTGCGCATCCACGATCCGCCTGGCGAAATTCGAAACCAGGACCCATTAGTCTCTAGACCACTGATCTTGCATCCAACGGTGTTAATATCTAACTTCAATCAGTTCACGAATTCGCACCACCTTCCAACATTGTCATCAATGAATTACTATCTCACAACAGACCCGGTTGAACTCCGCTAGTCACAGCTTGTGATGATTATAATCAGAGAAGGGGTTTGTAGATATAACAGTAATTTATTAATTGAATTCATGGGTCAATTGAAGCTAGAGCACCATGGAAAACGTGGAAGCAATGGACAGCCGTTTCGTCCATGAACCTTATTGTTTCCTTGATAATGACCTTTGCTGCACAACATCTCTTTTTAGTGACTGATTCAAGCTATTGTTTCAACAAAAGGCTATCTAATTCACCCCTAAATGATAAGGTGATGTAGACCGGCTTTTTCTCTGTCAAAGCTATAATAGGTCTTACTGTACCATGAACTCATCTATTTATGAATTTCAGAGGATAATCATTTTCCATTAATGTTTTACGTAGCAACCTAACATTATCTGTTGCGTCATTTGTACAAATACGATCAAGCCTGTTAAATAGACATTAGCCTCGTGACTTCCCAAAGAAATCGGCTTTGAACACCATGCGTCATAACTCTTCTGAATGGAGACATTCTAACTCTCAGGGTAGGGTTTAAGTGGTTTGAATTGTTTTTCCTACTTATCGTTTGTTTAACAAGATAGTTTTATACGGGATGGGGTCGCTAGCCCCAAGCCCAATCCTCCTCCTTTATTGGGGATTTTGATCGGCAGTAACTCTAGAAGAGCCACAGGCAGATGAAGACAACTAGTGTAATAGCAAACTCTGCATCAGTAGGCCTCAACATACACAAAGGAAAAAACAAGACCCTCAAATAAAAGATAGAGAACACCAACCTAATCACACCTGATGGGGAAACTATGGAAGAGGAAGATTGAGGGTCTGGAGCAGACGTAAAGGTGAGGCCCAGCATAGCAAGAGTCGCATTCTTACAGTTGAAAAACATATGGAACTCAAAACAATTGTCTGTCAACCAATATCAAAGTCACATCGTCAATACTAACGTCAATATAATTCTAATATACGGCGCTGAAATTCGGAGAACTAATACAACCATCGCCAACAAGGTACAAGTATTTATAAACAGTTATCTACGCAAGATACTCAACATCCATTGACCGGACATCATCAACAACAACCCTACTGTGAGAGAGAACAAACCAGCTTCCAGTTCAAGAGGAAATTAGGAAAAAACGTTGGAAATGAATAAGGCCTACATTACAGAAAGCTTTAACAAGGAATCGTAAAGGGAAGCGGTAAAGAGGAAGTTCAAAAAACACATTACGTCAGGAAATCTAAGCAGATGTGCAAAGGATGAATAACAACTTTAAAGAGTTGGGAAGAAATGTCCATAACAGGGTTGGATGGAGGATGTTAATGGTTGGCCTATGCTCATCTAGGCGTAAGTAATATATATATATATTGGATTGAATAGTCAAAGTAAATCAAAAACAATATTAACTTACCACATAATGCAATTGTTATTCTTGGACCTAAATCACGTATTGGATTAATTGATGTACCAGCATTCATTGATAATGATGTAATTCGTCCAGATGTAAAAATGATTATATAAATTAATCGATAATTTTTTTGTATTTTATCATTTCTATCATCACGTATTATTAATATAAATATTGTTGTAATAATAGTTAATAATAAACGATCAATAAAACATATTAAATGTGATACATTAGGTGTTGTTATAAATTGATTTAAAATAATCAATTTTATATTGTCATAGATACTAATATAATTATAATAATATATATAATATAACATTAAACTTGATAATAATGAACTAATAAATTGTATTATTGTTAATGGTATTACATAATAAAATGATAGTTTATTAATAAATGCTAATGATAATGTTATAGATGGATTCATTAAACTATTATAACCTAATGGTTGAGTAATTATTTGTGATAATAAATATGCAATTGACCATCCAATTGATAAATTTATATAATATAAATTATGTTTTAATGTATTATGTAACATACTACTTAATCCAATTGTAATTAATATAAATGTACCAATAAATTCACTAAAACAAGCATTAAATAAATGTTTATTATGAATTAATTGAAATTTATATTTTATTTTATATAATAATAAATAGATACAGTTGTCATGGAGATTAAGTTTATACATTTTCTTTTATGAATAAAATTGTACTATAAAAGGTTATATTAATTATTATCATTATTATTATTATCAATCATATTAGAAAACATGTGGGGGTGTTTTATTATTTCCTTTTTGTAATGATAATTGGTTTATTTATAATAGAATTATGTCAATATTTAATTCATTGGATCAATAAAATTGTAATATATATTATGTAATTCATAGATGATTATGTGATTGGTTCGTTTGTAGTGTTTGTTTTTTTAATGGTTATAGTGATAGTTAGTAAGTTAGTTGCTTATTTATTTAGGCCTTTTACTCCTCGTGGAGGAGCATATACCGCGCACCAGCATTCTGCATCCAACCCTGTCATGGGCAATCCTTTCCAGCTCTTTCTGGTTTTTATTTATCCTTTTCATGTCTGCTTAGATTTCCTGACGTAATGTGTTCTTTGAACTTCCTCTTAACCACTTCCCTTTACGATTCCTTGTTAGAGCTTTCTGTAACGTATATCCTATCTATTTCCAACGTTTTTTTCCTAATTTCCTCTTGAACTGGAAGCTGGTTTGTTCTCTCCCACAGTAGACTATCTCTGATGGTATCCGGCTAATGGATGTTCAGTATCTTGCGTAGATAACTGTTTATAAATACTTGTACCTTGTTGGCGATGGTTGTAGTAGTTCTCCGAGTTTCAGTCCTGTCGAGTAGAACAAACTATCTTGATGTTAGTATTGACGATGTGACTTTGATATTGGTTGACAGACAATTGTTTTGATTTTCCTGTGTTCTTCAATTGTAAAGATGCGTCCCTTAATGATGGTTGATACTTAATAACTGTTACTTTCTGTCTTGTAGATAACAAATAAATGATGTTTATTCCTCATCTACGACAGATACAAAGGTTTACTTTTTTCTATATTTTAAAGTATAAAAATGGATAAATCAGGTAAATGAACGTAATTTCATGCCGAGGGTGCGGTTTGTTGATTCTCCCTCACGAAGTTCTCTCACATGGCCACGTGCATACAACCAACGCCACGAAAGTCCTACTTAATAACTTCTTGCACCACAGGTGTTGTTTACGAAATTGAGAGGACGAAGAGTGAATGTCCAGTCCTTAACACGGGTTAGTGGGTACGGAGAATCCACATGGGGGAGTTCGTAAATCCTGATTCCAAACCAATGGTGAACATAGGCTCCTGGATTCTGAGAGAACAAATGGCGTATGAAGGGATTGTTAGTCACCGGCTACGATAGGACTGACATTGCTCCACTGCTTTGTGGATCAAATCTTTAGGTCAAAGGCTCTGGGTATGGCCCCGAAAAAATCACCAGGTTCGGTGGTTACTATAATAATCTGCATATAATTCAAGGGATAAATATCCAAAAACGAATATTTAGTTATATAAATCGGAATTCTTATTGTAGTGAACGAGAACAAAATTGTTAACGATGGAATGTATTTGAATACAAATCTACAGAACAGCTTAGTAAAATCTGAGAACCATACAGTGTATACTTCATTTGCGAAATGTCAATCAGTCGTCTCAGACTTCATTGTTTCTTTGTTCTTGCAACAATCATTCTCTGTCCTCGTTTTCCTTTCTTTGATCTTCTTAACCTTCTGTTGCCAGGTGTTTCAGTTTCGATTATTTCCAGAAGTTAAAGTATGAAGATGAATAAATCAGGAAAATAAAAGTAATTTCATCGTCATGGGGCATATATAAATCTGAAATACTGTTCATGGATCCGTATCAAGAAAGCATGTATACCACCGATCATGGTATAGTTTATTTTAATAAGTAAAATACCATTCGTCCTTTACAAGACGTTAGATTGAAATAAATCTGTCTCTTTAAATATTTGGGCCATCCGTTCCTTTCATCTGAACATTTCAACAAATTACTTTTTTTATTTGTTTTAACACATTATTATGTGTACTAGTCTCGTAACCTATTCAGGCGTGATTATGAAACGTTTACATCCTTTCGTTGTGCAAGTGACAAAAGAGCCCAATGAGATACATCGTGGTTGCTGGCAATATTTAGAGAAAAGAATACACATTAAATAGATGTTTATTGACTGTACTGCTAACATTTAACTGGAGATCACTCAATCTTTATCGTCAATAGTATTTTGTTGTAATATTCGCTAAAATTAAGGTTGAGTTATTACTATGTTAGGGTTTACGTTAGAAATATAGTGTAGAGTTAGTATTGGGATTAGAACAACAATTAATATTGGCTAAAATTAAAGGTTTTGGTACATAAAACTGATTTTATATCCTAAACCTTATCTCTTACTATTAAGAATGTATAATCAGCCTAATAAGTTCACCAATCAAGTACGAGCAATATCATATACTCGCTTATGACTGGTTTTAATAATTAGTTTCCGAAGTTCTGGTAAGAATCAGCGACTAGTTGAGTTCGACCGCCTCCAGCGTGAAGATGTTACTCACTGAAGACAATGAAATGTGATCACATAATGTCGTTGACCGGATACCAACAGCAACAGCCTGCTGTGGAAGAGAACTAACCAATTTCTGGATAAGGGGAAAATTAGGAAAAGACGCTACAAGTGGGTGAGAGATACATTTCGGTAATCATCATACTGTATCATGAAGCAAGCCCTAACTTGAAATCCTGAAGTAAAACAGAAATGTGGAAGGCCAAACAACACTCTGTGCCAGAATTCGGCAGTGGACATGAAAAAATATGTAGAAACTAAGGAGGAGTGCCTAGGACAGATGGAGAATGCTGTCGGGTGGTCTCTGCTTCTCTATGAGGGGTAACAGGCGTAAGTATGTAAGTATCAATAAAAATAGTCTCAACCATTTTGCAATAGTTTTAGCCAAACATTTTATATGAAGGAAAGTTTTTAAAGGGAACAGTGTTTTACCAGCTTGTATCGCATATAGTTGTTATTTGACATTTTTTAACAGCACTTAAGTATATCTCAAGTAATGTCAAGTTTCACCAGAAATATTAGTATTTTAAGTAAAAAGATGAAATTTAAATGACAAAATGTAACCATACACTAATAAACTGTCGCTACTTAGTAATCCATAGAATCGAATGTGATGTGTTTGAGAACTTTTAGTAGTGTGACTGTGTAGCGTGGGGTTGAGTTGCGGTTGACTACTAAAAGAAGAGCGCGTACCAGACATATCAGAAGGCGAAGAATGGATCCGAACCATATTTATTCGTTGGCGATCTCGTGGTATCGAACGAATACCGAAATCGTGCCAAAATGAATACAAGCGGAATTAGTGGGTAGAAGAACGAGTGCACAAGGTCACAGTTCACGGAAGAGTAATGGAGGATATAGAAAGATAACTATGGCTGTCATTAGAACAGTTAAACAAACGAGCACAGTAAAACAATCACTGGTACGATTGGTTATAATAATGGTTGTTTTCATTAGACCAATCGTGTTCTGTTGACAAAAGTAGGTCACTACAACTGTATTAATCTACCATCTCCAGCGTATACAAAGTGGAACAAGCCATAATGTTTACGGTTTCATCGACCCTATTGTTCTAAAATGGAATTAAAGGCGTTTATTAAGATAGATTAAAAGCACATCATCGAACAACATACCACAAATTTTAACAAACATAATAACTTAGATAAGCAAACCAATATATGATTATTTTTATAGGAAAGTCCTAGGTCTGAATATATCAACGAGATCATAGCAGAATTATGTTATATTGAGCAAAGTTGAAGCAAAATGGTGGTTGGAAGTAGTCGACAGGAAACGCTGGACCCCATTTCCGTGCTATTTAGCACCCGTCAGTAAGGTGTACATGTACCGTGTCACCCGGCTTCACAATCAGAGACGATATCAACTTTTTCGCTATGATTCGATCTATTCTAACAAGGACTTGACATATATGACAGTGATCACCACACCGTGATCAATCAAATGTAGATACATTCCACTCCTACAGAAGTTCAGGCACAGCCTCGATAGCCCAATGGTGATGACTCTGACGGTGAAGCTAGCTAACACGGGATCGAACCCGTCAGGAAGCATCAGTTCCATCAAGATTACAAGTACATCTTACTGACGAGTGCTAAGTAGCACAAAATCTAGGTCACCCAGATTTTCGTGAAAATTACCTCCAACCATCATCTTATCTCAAAATAGTGCACGCAATTTTGAGTCACACAGACTAGTGACCATCCTGTAACTTGGTTTATCCTCACCAAGAAGGACCTGACACACATGATATCGATTACCACCCGGTGACCAATCAATTGTGAGCAGAGTTGTTATTATTAATATTACTATTATTACTATATATATAGTAATGAAGTCAATAAAATCAACTTGTACAGATTTGCACATAACGAATAAACGTTGATTACATAACTTTATTTTGAAGAAAACAAACAAACCAATGCAAAATAGATTAATGTATTTTATGCACATATATCCACCTACAATTTGGATCAATATATAGAACCATTAAAAAAACGGTAAGTAAATGTTAAAAACAATTAAAGTCGAGTATACTATAAACAACATCATCATCATCTTCTTCTTCATCTTCATCCTTATCACAGGAGTAATTATGTTAAATAATGAATCAATCTATCAAACACGTTATAATACATTTATTAAACAATTAACAAATTATATTAATTTAACTAAATGGCCATTATTATGTAATTGTATAAATGAATTTCTTGGTACAACAATATTTATTATATTTGGTTTAGGTGTTATGATTCAAACAAATATTGATTCAATAAATAATAAAAATACTGGACAATATTTATCTATATCAACTGGTTGGGGTATAGCTAAAATTACTGGTTTATTAATATCAACTAATGGTGGTGGTAGTAGTAGTAGTAGTAGTAGTAGTAGTAGTAGTAGTAGTAGTGGTAACGGTGGTGGTGGTGGTAACGGTGGTAACGGTGATGTTGGTGGTAACAATAACAATCATAATGATCAATCAGGTTTATTAAATCCATCTATTACATTTGCATATTGTTTAATTGGAAAATTATCATTTCGTTATCTTATCCCATATAGTATAGTACAATTATTAGGATCAATCATTGGTACATTTATTATTATTTGTATTTATTGGGAAAATATACAATTATATGCTAAATTATTTTCTAATGGTAAATTAGAAATGAATTATACTGGTTCATTATTAGTGAATATACCAAATGTATCCCATCAATTATGTTTATTAGATTATATTATATCAAATACAATTTATTCATGGATTATATTAATTATTAATCATAATCATAATTATATATCATATGAATTCAAATTAATTTATATTGGATTATTATTAACTGGTATCATTGGTTCATTATCATTAAATATTGGTATTGGATTAAATCCAGCTAGTGATTTAGGTGCAAGAATAGCAATATCATTATGTGGTAAATTATGTAATAATATTTTATCATTTATTGATTATGTCATATATATATATATATAACAGAACGGGTTTCTTGGAGATTTGAGTAATTTCAATAGTTGAAATCATTAGTTAATTGAAGTTAAACCACCATAGAAAACCTGAAAGCATTAGACAGCTGTTTCATTGTTTCGTTTCAACTATTGAAATGACTCAAATCTCTACAAAACCTCTTCTGATAATAATCATCTGCTCATTTGTGGCTGACTTCAAGAGGCATTTCTTGGAGTTCCAGTAAAAAGCTGTGATTAGTGGAGTTCAACCAGGTCTTTTGTGAGATATCAGCTCATTGAAGACAATGGTGGACGGTGGAGCAATTTTTGTGAATTGGTTGAAGTTAGACATTAACACCATTGGATTCCGACTAGCTCAGTGGTCTAGAAGTAAGAATGATAGGTTCTGGGTTCGAATGTCGTGGGGGGGGGCGGGATCGTAGGTACACACTGTTGAGGAGTTCCATACGAGGACGAAACGGCCATCCAGTGCTTCCAGGTTTTCCATGGCGGTTTAGCTTCAATTGACTCATGGTTTCAACTATTGATATATATATATATATATATATATATATATATATATATATGTTTCTATGGTGAGATGATGTTTGTGTGACGTTAAAGTGATCTTGAGGATATCTATCTAGAAACTAGGACTTCATGATAACTATAAACCAATTTGAAGAATAAGGATTATAATTTACAATTGATGATTAGAGTTATTTAGCCAAGTGAATCCATCCAAGCCTTGTTATTTTATATCTGATTGATACTTCCATAAATTGTAGTCTTGCTATTTATTTCATGGTTAAGAGTGAAATTTAGGATGTGTTTTACTTATAATATTTCTTTTAACATAGACATGTCTATGGTGAGACTACAATTTATGAATGATATTTGACTGACGATTAAACGACATTGGGAATATTCACATACTAACTAAGATTAGCTAATGATTATAAATCAATGTAAAGAATTAGAATGATGATTTACAATTGATGGTTAAAGTTAGCAATTAGCTTTAGGATCTTCATTACGAACTGACATCAACTATAATGTTAAAATGATATTTAACCAAGTGGATGAATGAATTTCGCGGTAAAATCCAAGATCTGTTCTTTTATATATATGATTGGTTCGTTCATAAATTATAGTTTTACCATTTATTTTATGGTTAAAAGTGAAATTCAATATGTGCTTTTTGTTATATTTGAGATTTGTTAGGTAGATCTACTTAGATTCTAGTGTTGTTATTTACAATGAGATTGGAACTCAATATGTTACGTTACAAATTTTGATGTTGTTAATGCCCTGAAACTAATCTAATGTAGTTTTAAATATTATACTTGTTAAGCAAGTTAGTTGCTTTTCGAATTTACTAGTTTAATGAATAAACCGTTTGGTATTTGATGCAAAAAGCACTGAACTCTAGTTTCGATGTAAATATTAGCAGTGGATTGTTAGTATATCCGTCTGGAGATTCTTCAATATAACAAAAAGAGAGCTCAATAAACCGAATCATCTAAATGAGTTTCATCTGCTAGATAATATTAATTACGTTGTATGAAGTTTACTTATGATGGTCAGAATTGTGATATGAGTAAGGATATCATCGAAATGAACTACATAACATCTTCAATTAAAATATGAAAGCAATCAGATTGAAATTGTTATTTTCATGTTAGCTGTTTGTTCATCATATCCAATATAGCCTAAACTCTTTGAATCTACTTATCCGAATTGTTGATCAGTTATTGATATTTCGGTATCGTTTATTTTTTTTATTAAAGTTATAGGTGCTTGGATGTAGTATACAAGAAACCCTGGTTGACATAGATTTTGTACCAATTGGAGCTAATTACTATGGTGTGCTTCCAACCTTCGAGGAACTGATATTCCTTGTATAATTCATGCTCACCTTACTCAATTTCACAGTCTAAAATATTACCACCGAGCTATTTGGATTCTAACTGGATTCTTATAAGGCTAAGGTGTATTTACAACTGATGTCATTTTAAGCAAAGATGGATAGTGTCTAGCAGTGGAATCCAGGACGTGTGTTTTGTCCTATTGAAAAAAATACAAGTAAAACAACACCAAGTGAATTAAAACTTAACCCCCAATACATAAACAGGTGGCTATCAAGACTCAGTAGCTAAGTAGGTAACGCGATGATGTTTGAAGCGAAAGGTACTTGGTTCTAGTCCCACAGTGGACATCAACTTTGAGATGAGTTCCAAATAGGACAAAACGTGCATCAAACACGATTCTACTACTAGCCATTATTCATTTTTACTTAAAAAGCTTATGACTTAAGGCTGTATAGAGAAAATTCGCACAGGATGCACATATGCCAATAAGAGACTGATCAATTGTAGTCCTAAATAACAATGGGAAAATACAAGTAAATCAACACCAATATTTTATTTTATATTTATTAATTACCTTAGTTTGAATTTGATTTGATGTGATTTTTTCCCCCAGATTCATTAAAATCTTTCTTTTTTTTCTTGTTTTTCTCTCTTTTTTTTGCTTCAATTTGATTTCCAATGGTAACCCCCTTTCTCCCCTTCCTCTCGGAAAAAAGGTTGGGGTATTGAAGCATTCAAAGCAAATAATTATTATTTTTGGTTACCATTAATTGGACCATATATAGGAGCAATTATTGGTTCATTATTTTATGGATTTATTATTAGTTTACATATAATACCATTATCTGATCTTGATCAATATAAAATACAAAATAATGAATGTATTATGATTAATTCAACTAGTAACTATTTACAAAGTAGTTTTATGGAAGAAATGAATGAAGATTTATTTAATATAACAGAAATTGATGATTGTTTTATAGATAGTGAAGAGACATTAGATTAAATATCAATTCATGAATATCTTTGTATTACATAATCATCATCATCATCATCATCCAAATCATCATCATCCAAATCGTCATCATCATCATCATCATCATAATCACCATGGTGATCTAGACATAATGTGATGGAATAATTTTGTAGGATTTTCAAATAATAACAGTTGCTTAGTTGGAAACTTTTCTCTTTCTTATATTAAAGTTATTTCAGTCTGTAGAGCATCATACATATACTTAATGTACTGTTTAACTGAGAAACATACACACACACACACACACAAAACTGCATTTTCTTTTAACCTTAACCTATATAATTCTAGTTCGTGTAATCTTATGCGTTTTCATTCTGGAATAATGAGATATTTTGAGAGAGAAAAAAAAAGTGTATCGATGAGACTATAGTTTCTGAACAAACCAATCAGATTTAGGTAAACAGATCTTAGATTTTGGCGCGAAATTCATTCATCCACTTGTTTAAATATCATTTTGACATTCTATTTAATGTCAGTTCATGATGAAGATCCTAAATTTAATTCCTAACCTTAATCATCAGTTGTAAATCATTATTATAATTGCTTATATTGGTTTATAACTTTCATGTAATTCTAGGTGGATATCTCAAAGATCATTTTAGAGTTACTTAAACGTCATCGATAAATTTTAGTCTCATTAATGTTTCTTATATCAGCCTTAACATTATGATATTTTTTTATATCATAGATGCATTTTTATTGAGAAGTTGAAAGTTATTGTCCCATCTTTTCTTTTTGTACTTTGATCAAATACAATTCCATACACTTTGAAATGTAATTACAAATTGTTGAATTTGTTTAGTTTATCAAATATCTTTTTAACAACTGTTAACACGACTACTATTACTACTGCTACTACTACTACCACCACCACTATTACTGTCACTACTACTACTACTACTGCTACTACTGCTACTACTAGTACTACTACTACTACTACTACTACTACTATTACTACTACTACTACTACTACTACTACTACTACTACTACTACTACTACTACTATTACTACTACTACTACTACCACCACCACCACTACCACTACAACTACAACTATTACTACTACTACTACTACCACCACCACCACTACCACTACTACTACTACTACTACTACTACTACCACTATTACTGTCACTACTACTACTACCATTAATACTACCACTACAACTATTACTACTACTACTACTACTACTACTACTACTACTATTATTATTATTACTACTACGACTACTACTACAGCGACTACTATTATTATTATTTTACTTTTCTTATGGTTGAATAATTTTGATTCTGAGAATGTATATTTATGAACTATTGATATAAATGTATGTTGTTTTCTAATTCATAGTAAGTTGTATAATTTTAATTAATATTAAGTTGATTTGAAAGATTCTGTTGATTTTCTTCATTGTGTCAGTATTAATGATGGTAGAATTTGGATACTGTATGATTTCATATTTGTGAAATTTTTTTTATGGTTAGATTAATTTACTTATTGGTATGACATTTATAGACAATTTGCATACGTTTTTTGATTGAGATCATGAATTGATGAATGTTAGACCACCTGTTAAAACCTGGGAGCACTGAACGATTGTTTCATCCTAGTATAGGACTTATCAGTGGTGGTGCGCATCTAAGATCTTGCTCACGGGATTTGAAGCCAGAACTTTCGGTCTTGCGAGCGAACTCTTAACCTCTAGATCACTGAGCTGGCCGACATCCAATAGTGTTAATGTCTAACTTAAACCAATTCATAAATTTGCGCGACTATCTTTAATTGTCGGAGGTAGATACCTGTCTCTACCTAATACGCGTTAGCTCCACCAGACATGGCTTCTCACTAGAACTCAGAGAATTACCTCACAAAGCTAATCACTAGTGAGTACATGGTAATTATCAGTGTAGGACGAAATGACCGTTCAGTGCTTCCAGGCTTTCAGTGGTGCTCTAACATTCATCGATTCATGATCTCAATCAAAAACTTAATAATCTCCACAACCCTACACTGATAACTGGTGGAATGTCCTTGCGCAGAGAGAAGGAAACTATCCTACTAATAACCTATAATCTGAGTGGTCGGTAAACAGGGAGGAAAAAGACGGCTTGGCCAGCAAGTCTGTCCTATTTATTTGTGATTCTTACTAAATCTTAAACTCATATGAATAAATATATGACTAGTGAGGCTGGCCAAAGAACATATTACGTCGCGAAACAGAAGCGTATATGAAAAGGATGAATAACAACTGGAAAGAGCTGGAAAGGAATGCCCAGGACAGGGTTGGATGGAGAGTGCTTGTGGTTGGCCTATGTTCTACCACGAGGAGTATGTAAGTGGTGAGGCTGTGAAAGATACAATTTCGATAGTGTTTTGTTCTATGAGCTGGATGGCTTGATCGTGGAGCTTTCATCGTTCTTTTGAGCGACATCATTAGGACATCAGACAAAGCGGAGGCCCTCTTCATCTTCGCCTACATGAACATTAATTAGAGGTCAAACGCCATGACATATCTTCATTTATATCAATTCATATGGTCATCTGTGGACACATATTCGACTGGAAAAATGTCGAGATCTTGGATGGAGGCATTTCCAAAAACATCATATAATTTTTATAAGCATATCACTAAGGTCAATAAGCAATCAGCAAACTCATTGAAGTCGATCCAATTTATCAACCAATCAGAAAAATTATGGACAAACATAGGACCAAAAATTAAATCGATGAAAGATACAACTAAAATAAAGAACTAAACAATGACAGGTTTAAGATTAACAAGAACCAATCAACATCGAGTTCAACAGGACAGGCTGTAAGTCACTTCTACCTGAAGTTTTTGCAGATAATGTCGTTCAGAAGAACGTTGAAAACTCCACGACCAAACCATCCGGGTCAAAGAACAAAACTTCACCACGATCATCCACCTGAGCTACAAATCTCCACCATCTCAAAGATACAATTATTTTCTAGTTAGGAAATAAGAGTAAAACAATGAAATACAAAGGTCACGTCTAACGTACAGTAATTTTTTAATATAAACGAATATGATAGTAATTTATGAATTAAACAAAACCTTATGATATAATGAATAAAATAAGAATTCGCTGTTTGTCACCACATTTCTATTTCTCTCTTCACATTAATTCCTAACTAAACAGTTGGATTAGGCTTCTGTTATGTTTTATACAGAATTCGCTATCCAAGATGTATATCTACAATTGATTGATCACTGGTTGATGATCAATGTCATGTATGTCAGAACCTTCTTAGTGAAGATCGAATTCTATCGACCAAGTTGTCATGTGCTCACTAGCCTGGATGACTCGACATTGAGTGCACTATGTTGAGATAAGATAGTGGTTGAAGGTAGTCAACAGGAAACCCTGAACCTAGGTTTTGTACTACTTAGCACTCTTCAGTAAGATGTAGCTGTAATATTGATGGAACTGATGTTCCCAACAGAATTCGGTCGGGTGTCATCCAGCTTCACAGTCAGAGACGTTACCACTGGGCTATCCGGGCCGTGACTGACCTCTTGTAAGACTGAGATCTATTTACAATTGATTGATAAATGGGTGGTGATTAATTTCATGTATATCAGGTCCTTCGTAGTCCAAATCGAATCCTATCGACCACATATGTAAGCGTTAAATGAAGCGAGTAAATTGATATCTTGTACAAACTAATTGATAATTCTTTTAGTTTGGGTTATAGTAACGTTTGTTCGATGATAATATTTTAATAATGGGATCGATCGATATTTATTTCAATCACTTTGATATTACCGGAACAACTTACCTTACAATAGATACCAATAGTAACCATCAGTTTTGTCGGTGAGCAAATGAAGCTTAGTCTTTGCTGTCTATAAAGAAAGAGATAAACCTTTCTGTTACTGTTAATGAGGCCAGTATGATCAAGCAACTTATAGTGGAAGCTATTGATTATTGAGTAGGTTTATTGATTTGTACGCTTTGTGAAGGTTGAATCAACGACTTTCTGCTTATCCAATGTCAAAATAATTTCTTATCGATGAACTAATCGGTTTGACTGATAACAAATGACGGCAAAATGTTTCCTCCTTTAACTTCAACAGTCAATCAACGTGAAAATAAACGTCCTGTTGCTATACTGTCCTCTGCTCATCTCTATCTATCATGACTCAAAAACTCATAGGTTCATATAGATTATTTACCTGGTCACACAGAACCACACACATTGTACGAAAGTTCCATGTACCTAAAGTAATGGTTACTCTGGTTGTCAGAAAGGACATCAGCCTCATGACTTCCGAAGGAACTCGGCTCTCACCATGAGGCGTCATAACTTTTTCAAATGAAGACCTTCTAACTCTCAGGGAAACGTTTATATGGTTTGAATTATTGTTTCTGGTTAGCGTTTTTTAGCGAGTCGGTTTTCTACGGGATAAGGTCGCTAACCATGTGTCCAATCTTACTCGTTTATCTGGGCTTGGGATCAGCAGTAGCCCCAGAGGGGCTCCAGACAGGGTTGAGGAAGGCACCCAACTGCATCACAAGGCAAGCCCCCACTTAGAATCCCCAAGATACAATAAGAAGAGGAAAACCAAATAACACATTACTTCGAGAATTGGAGACAGATATGAGAAGAATAAATAACGATTGGATGGAACTAGAAACGAAGGCCCAGGACAGAATGGGTTGGAGAAGACTGGTCGACGGCCTGTGCTCCATTCGGAGTAAAAGGCGTATGTAAGTTACACAGCACCACAAATAAGAAATGATAATGTATAGATGACTGGAATATTCATGATACGAAACTAAGTAGTAGGTCCATAATTAATTAATGATAATTTAGAAATGGTTAAATTTCAATAGTTGAAATCATGAATCAATTGAAGCTAGACCACCATGGAAAACCTGGGAGCACTGGACGGCCGTTTCGTCCTAGTATGAGACTCCTCAGCAGTGCGCATCCACGATCAAATATCTAACAACAACTGTGGCTTACGATTAGGTAAACACAAATACCATAACCTTAGTGCTTAATAATTACAAAGTAAAAAACTTATATTATTTACTTATAAAACAATCTTGAATATCCCATCTCTCTTGATTACTGTCACTGATCTACTACCAGTCTCTACTAATATATAAATATATATATTCCAACTAAGCTAATTCTGAACATTTACACAATGAATTACTTGCTATGATGATTTGGTATTCTAATTACGTAACTAATTAATTTTGCTTACAATCAAATAGATCAACTAGTTAGATATTAATATCAAATCAGAGAAATACAATGATGCAATGATCTATTCGGAGCCAACATTTATCTATGATCATTTCTAATAATCATTAACAATCAGGAATTCATTTGCTTAAATTATTCAATCGAAGTAACAATTACATAACAAATAACAGTGTAGTGCAATTTCTCTCTGTGTGTGTGTGTGTGTGCGTGTGGGCCAATATCTTGAAAATAATGCGTCATCAAGTTATATAATATGGTATATAGTTGTTGTAGACATTATTTAAACAAGAGGTATTGTTTACATAATATAATTTATTGACAAGGTTGTAATACACATAGAGAGAGATTTATGTTTTCAACTATTTTGTGTGAATAAGTTTTCTTATAAGTATAAGATTGTGGAGATTATTAAGTTTTTGATTGAGATCATGAATTGATTGATGTGAGAACACCATTGAAGACCTGGAAGCATTGGACGGTTGTTTCTTCTTATTGTGGGACTCCTCAGTAGTACGTATCTACGATCCTGTTCTCGGGATCTGATGGTGGTCTAACACTAGTCGGTTCATAATCTCAATCAAAACCTGATTAATTTTCACAACCCTATACTGATAATTACCATATGCTCATTAGTGACTAGCTTCGTGAGGGAAT